GTATCTGCACATGTCACTGATGCACAGCGAGAAGACATAGAAGCGGTGCCAATCAAAGCCACGAGGCTGGGATTGACACACAACAACAACGAAAACCTCAAAAGCAGGTGGGCACCATGGTGAGCACCCAGCTGCCTTCCATTCAAGCTGCTGTGCGCCTAAGTCAAAACAAAATCAAATATATATAAATATATATATATATAGCAGCACAGGTGGCTGCAATACGATCACATGTGTTGATCAAAAAACAGCCAGGGCTGCGTGATCAAAGCTCAAGCCGTGGGCTGTGCCAGGCATGGATAATCAAACACCTACTGAAGGAAAATGCACTGCACAAATTATGACATGTCGCAGCCAAACCCCCCACGTGTGCAAGACCCTAGGTGCGCCGTGAGCTGTCAGGGCACCAGGGACCTGGCACAGTGGTGTCGTGGTGTTATCGTTATCGCATTCAGAGTGGGATCGTCGATCCTGTTCAGCACCGATGGCTAAAACCGAAATGGATCCACTCAAATTCACTAGTGTGTACTCCTAGGTGTTCCATGAGGAAACCAAGGGCGCTCCACTTGCCACATATTGCAACACTCATCTGATGCCCAATGCAGAGGTTTGACCGGCAAATACATTGATTGCAGAGAAATACCCCAAAATACCAGCAAATGACGAGGCCAACGATGACGAAGATGCGCTGATCTCTGCCAGAACAAGACATGTACATCAAACCGGCCGGTGAAAGGCCACCGACCCTAACCAAGTGTTGCTGACACCACACTGTGATTTCCACCTGATCGTGGCTCCGACAGCGTGGTCGGCTTCGCACTATGTTCACCATGAAAACGCCACCAGAAAGCCGAGCTGAACGGCAACTGAGACGGCTTGTGTCATCTTCCATGTACACCATCACAATACCAATCGCGAAGTCACCCGCTACTGGTTGAGTAAACTGTTTGCACCATACATGGCACCCATTGGCTCCATGCCCGCCCACTCTCGCAAGACCGGAGGCAGGAGGTTCGAGGCATCTGTATACTGTAAATACTCGCCCTGGATGTTGAATGGAAATCAGCATCTTGTTCAAGGACAACGGAAGATCAAGGACATGGCGAAATTGAAACAACTCAGGGTTTTCTGTTGATGCCTACCTACGAGCTGGGACGCCCCCTGAGACAAAACGGCTAAAATATTAGTCAGTTGGGATGAATATTCCCAATATATGGAAAAATCAAAAATGTTCCAAAACACCAACCAGATGGCCAATCTACCTTCAAAACAGCACCCCATGTATCAACCACTCGATCATAAAAAGTCGATCATCTAAGTTTGATAGCAACACTCTTTACTCCGTCATCAATGGACAAAATTCCCATGAATATCTAGGTAAATAGCAATGTTCACGAAGTTAGTGGCAAACATTAGGTAATAACATTCCCATTAGTTAGTGGTAAATATAAATAATCAACGAACTAAATGGTCATGTTCAGCAAAGCGTGTTTCCATCAAGCCAGGTCTCCACTCGCCATCTTCCTGAGCTGCATTCCACCTCCAAAATTCATCTTTGTTTAAAGCACCCAAATAGATAGAAAAGGAAATCACCATGAATCACCACCAATTGAGTAGGAATTTGCTTTTCTATCTTCTTTGGAGTTGCTGTACACCAAACAAACATGGGACAAGATGGGAAAATCATCCACACATGAGTAATCTAATGGAGGAAATAAATCTTTAAAACTTGGGAAAAGATGGGACAACAATCAAACTATATCAAATTATATAAATGGATCTAAATGGTGGATATTTCATGGGGATATAATGGAGACGTTGTTGTTTTCTTTAACCAACAATGTGATATTTGAGAATGTAAACTGACTGTTGATATTTCATGGGGATCTAGCTGGATTATCAATGGATCACTGGAATATTGATGGGGAAATCATGCCAAGCGCGGATCAATAAACCCCTGGGCTCTTGATCATTGATGGAGGTGTCATGGTTTCATACATGAGATCATTACATCACTATTTGGGTGGCTATCCCCCCCTGGGGTTGACAATCTATATCCAGTTGGCTTTGTCCCATGGGGAATCCCCAGCTATATCCCCATTGTCTATGGCCCCATGAAAAACATGACATATTTCCATGACATATCCAGTTGGGTTGCTTGGGCTTCCCTGTTGTTCCCAATCCTCCCACGTTGTCTGGGGATCACCAAGTCTTGAACCAATTGCGACTACCAGCGGTGATTTCCCAGACCATCACATTTCATGTGGAAACTCATCAGTCTGAGCCTCTCATCACGTTATCATGTTATTGGTTTAAATGTGATGAGGCCCAGATTTTTCATCACTTTCAAGCCCCCCGTGGGCGAGCCGCACGCGCCTGGCTGCAGGGCTGTTGGGCACCAGGCTTTGAACCACTCTGCGCTTCTCCAAGAACTTTTCTCGGACCTGCAGACTTGGGAAGTTTTCACTATCGCAGAGGATGGGGATAAAAAAAAAACATCACAGGAAGATCCTCAGGAAAAAAATTCAGACATCGTAAGATATCTTTGGATACTTGGGTCAGCCCTGTTAAGAGCCAGGAATTGCAAGTGGCGGCTACAGCCGTCAAGGTGGTGGCTACAGAACCTTGGGAGGTCTTCCAAAGCATCTGCACAGACCGTGTCTGGCAATGGTATCGCCAGAAAATATACATGTTGTTCAAACTACTCTGTAGTAACAGCCATGAAAATAGCAAAGTGAACTCCTACTAAACAGTGATCTTGAGGACATGTGCGAGATATTGAGGTTGAAAATGCCATCTGTTTTGTGTGGCACATTTCTGCCATGTTTGTTATAAGGTATAATTTCTGATTGGGCTTGCAATAAACAATTTTCAGTTGAGGTCGATGCTCGGGTCGCCCCACCCACGTGATACCCCAGAGTTCTCCATCTCCGCGTTCCACTTGGACCTCCAGGCGTCCCAGTCAGCCCAGTAGATATATATATATATGTGTGTTATATAGTTATGTAGTTATGTATGTATAAATGTATATATGTTGAAACATATATATATATAGCTATATCTGGATATATATATATATAGTTAAATATATATTTATATAGATATATATGTATATAGTTATATATATAGTTATATATATATATAGTTACCTAAATATAGTTGTATATATATAGTTATATATATATAGTTATATATATATAGTTATATATATATACAGTGATATATTTAGTTATATATATATAGTTATATATATATATAGTTACATATAGTATAAATATATATATATATACATATATATATCTATATAGTTAAATATAGTATAAATATATATATATAGTTACCTAAATATAGTTGTATATATATATAGTTATATATATATAGAATTATATATATATACATAGTTACATATAGTTATATACATAGTTATATATATTATGTATATAGTGATAAATATAGTTATATATAGTTATATATATACTGTTATATATAGTTATATATATATACATTTATATATAGTTGTGTATTATATATATTTACATATATATAGTTATATATCTAGTTATATATATATAGTAGTATAAAGAGTTATATATATATAAACACAGTTATGTATTTATATACAGTTATATAGAGTTATGTATATATATAGTTTTATATAGTTACGTATAGTTTTAAATAGTTGCATATAGATATATATATAGTAAAATATAAAGTTAAATAGTTATGTATATAGTTCTACGTATATATATATGGTTATATATAGTTATATATATAGTTATAAATATATAGTTGTATATATATATCGTTATATATATATATGGTTACACACAAATATAGTTATATATTTACAGTTATATATATATATAGATTGTTATATATATATATTGTTATATATATAGTTTTATATATAGTTTTATAGATAGTTTTATAGATAGTTTTATATATAGTTTTATATATAGTTTTATATATAGTTTTATATATAGTTATACATATAGTTGTATATATATAGTTATATATATATAGTTATATAAATATATGTTTATATAGTTTTATTTATAGTTACATATATAGTTATATATATAGTTATATATATATAGTTTTATAAATATAGTTGTATATAGATATTTATATTTTATATATAGTTATACATATAGGTATATAATATAGTGATATAAACTATTGGTTGTTTAGATTTTTCGTATATAGTTGTAGTTAATCGGTCTATAATATCTAGTTTTATTTATAGTTATGTGTATATATATAGTTATATATATAGTTATATATATATAGTTTTATAAATATAGTTGTATATAGATATTTATATTTTATATATAGTTATACATATAGGTATATAATATAGTGATATATAACTATTAGTTGTTTATATTTTTTAATATAGTTATGTATATCGTTATATATATATAGTTTTATTTATAGTTATGTGTATATATATATATAGTTATATATATATAGTTATATATATAGTTATATATATAGTTATATATATAGTTATATATACAGTTATGTATATATATGTATGTAGTTATATATTGTTGCATATTGTTATATATATAGTTATATATATATACTTACATATGTAGTTATACACATATATGGTTTTGTATATAAACAGTGGTATATATATATTTACATATATAGTTATATATATAGTTATATATATATAGTTATATAAAGAATTATATATATATATACACAGTTATGTTCTTATATATAGTTTATATGTATATAGTGATATATATATATACATATAGTTTTATATAAAGTTATACATATATATTAATATATTTAGTTATATATATATAGTTATATATATATATTATATAGTTTTATATATAGTTATATATATTATATAGTTTTATATATAGTTAAATACATAGAGTTATATATATATAGTTGTATATATAGTTGTATATATAGTTATATATATAGCTATATAAATATATTTATATTTATTTCTCGGTGTGTTATCGGCTGACACTTGAACATGAACTCCGACCTCGATACCTCCAAGCCTTGGTCAACTGTGGCGTCCGCAGCTGCACTTTTTGTCGCAGGGGCTCAGGTTGGTTTTTCGGCCGCGCACTGGCTGAGGGTAGGCAACGACTTGTTACCAAAGTCAAAACGGCCAATGCCGGCATGAAAGTCAGCGAAATTGCAAGTTGAGAAGAGGTAGTTGACCATATTGGTGAAGATGTTGCCTCAAGCGTCGGCATGCCTCCAGGAGCTTCAATTGCAAAAGGAAGCGAAGCTGGAGCTTGACTTGGCCAACTTGGTGGTGCATTGCCTGTAGCTGCATAGTCGGCTGTGGCAATGCTTGGTCTTCCACATAGTCGCTGACTTCGGTAATGATCTCTTCTAAAATGTCCAGCTTGTGGATATACGTTTGGACGATGAAGACCTCCTCGAAAAGAGAGATCAGGTCGATGTCCGGTTGAACGTCCATCAGGCAGGTCAGAGCACTTGCTCAGGAGTGACAGGAATGGATAAATGATATCCCTGCTGAAAGTGAAGCACTCGCTTTGGGTGGGTGAGGTATTGGGACGAAAAATGTGTTGAAAATTGTTTTGACTGTGAAATTGAGTTCAAAACAATTAGATAAAAGTTTAAGACTGAAAGTCATGTGTTCATGGCTGTGATATCACTGAATGCCCTTGAACTCATGACCAACGACAAGCACTTGCTTGTTGCATGCTTCACTTGAAGCTAAAACACGTCGGAGCATGTCAACTCAAGATGTCAGCCCGTTCTCTGAGGTTCACTCTTCAAACACCCCTTTAAATAAGGCTTTATCATGTCCCATGAGAAAACTCTTATTTCTCGGTGTGTTATCGGCTGACACTTGAACATGAACTCCGACCTCGATACCTCCAAGCCTTGGTCAACTGTGGCGTCCGCAGCTGCACTTTTTGTCGCAGGGGCTCAGGTTGGTTTTTCGGCCGCGCACTTACCCCTATGATGGGCCGCCAGGTTCCACAGAGCTGGGCAGTCAACACTTTGACTGTTGAGGCCATTCCAGCTACTGAGCTTCTCATGTGAGAGATGGTCAGCTGGATTGGATTGGCTGGGCACTCGCTCCAACCATAGTTGACACAAACATTCCTCCTCCACTTGGAAGATGTAGGCTAAGAGATAGCTGTTCTGGGAATTGTTGGACCATGTCTTAAGGAAAGCACCCCGTACTGATTCGCTATCCGTAAACGAGACTATCCTATAATTTTTAAACAGAGGGCACCACAAATGAACGGCCGCTAGGAGAGCCAACATCTCAAGTTCCTGTATGACGGTCACCTGTCCATCACAACGAACCGTGTCAAGAAATGGTTGTTTCAACTCTTCACTAAAGAAGGCTATGGGTTCTCCGGCACTGTTGTATGCCACGCCTCCTATTCCGGAGTAGCCTCCATCATTGAAGGAAGCATCAACATAGATGTGCACATGATCGCTCAAGGATCCGACTATCTTTCTGGGCACATTAGTGTGCAGATAATCTCGTATTCCTTGGAGAGCATTTGAGGTTTCTGCAGACAGGTTGACCCTGCCGGTTCGGATGTGGTTCGAGAGGTGTCTGACCTGGTTCCGAACATATCTGCCGAACAACTGGCCGGCAGCGAAGATCAGCCTGCCCCTTAACTTCTCACCTTCGCTTCTCTTCAAGCACCCTGCCCTCAAAATGTCATCAAGACTCTCGCACAGCTCAAGCACCCTATCTTCAGTGTTCAGGACGTAAACTAGCCCTTCGCCTGAGAGCTTCAGGTCAAATTTGACCCCAAGTACTTTGCACACCGTGTCATAGGGCACAAGCTTGTCACTGGAAAGCCTCCAGCCCAAGATGGAGAAAAGGGCAGATATCACAAGATCAGTGTGACGCGAAGTCGCGGTCTCAGTGATGGAGAAGAAGTCATCGAAGTACGATGACCAGAGCAGCCCCAACAATTTCGTTCCAATCTTCCAAAGTGCAAGAGACAGTCTCAGAAAAGCTGTCACAGATGCCACGGAACCAAAAGGGAGGACCCTCTGTTTGTACACCTCAGGCCCACGGGCTGCGGGGCTGTATACCACAAGAAATGAAAGGCTTCCTCGCTTAAAGGTACCTGTTTGTAGGCATCTGCCAGGTCCCACGCTTTGGCCGACAGCTCTATCTGGAGGCCACAGGCTTCTGCACAACGCATCGTGCATGCAACCATAGCAGCTATGTGATCAACGGTGTGTACCGATGCTGTCTCGGATTGTGAGACACTACAGTTGACAAAGGATGCTTTGTAGTCATCTATTGGCCTGGTTTTCGACTTCTGCTTGACTCCGAACCTCCTAGTCAAGGTGGCTCCTGCCGGCAGGTGTGCCGGGTCAAGAGGTCCTTCCAGGAATCCTTTTCTGACTTCTTTGCATGTGGCTTCATACAGCTGATCATCCAGTTCAGTGTCGCCCGATGACTGCGTCGTCTCAAGCATGCTTTTCCTGCACAGGTCTGCCACACTTCTCAGTTCCTCACGGGACAAAGTGGCCGGTTTGACACGCTTGGCAAAAGTGTGGGACTCCGGCAATGCTCCAGTAAGATTAAACCCGGTGGTCAGGTCATCAACCAAGTTCAAATCACTGTGTCCGGCATCCGAAAGCAGTGCTCTGAGGAGCGCCAGCTTTTTCCCCTCAAGGATTTTCTGTCTGCGATCGGACATGTTTGACCGAATCTCGACTTCAGCAGGTTGGAGGTCTTTGGATAGGTTAATCCAACGTCTGATCTCCTCGGTTCTGCTTAAGGCCGTGATTGTGGGGCCTGCATTTATGTACTTATGGACTACTTCAGTTATTTCGTCAGGGAACATAGATTGAAGCCTAGTGGGGTGACCAATGGTTATGGCCTCTCTAACGAATTCATCAGGGGTTCTATGAATTCCTATCGTTATCGAGGATGGGTCTGTTGCACTCGCG